TTTTTTAAGGAATTCTCAAAGAGTGCAAAATCATCTCTGGTCTCTAATATATGGCCAAACACTATCTGCGTTTATTAAACAATCTAGAAGAAAGTAGAAAACTAATTCCACTCTTAAATTTACGATCAACTGTTAATATTAACAGCGAAACTCCTGCCACATTTTTAAGAAAGTTTACGAACAGGGCTCACTTCATTTAATTAAACTTTCTGGAGTTATATATCTCGGTGTCGTTTTACAACTTTTTCTCATCTTTCGGGTAATTTCATTATTCTGTCCTTGAAGGAACTTCCCACTTTTTCCCTCGCAATAGGAACGCAATGCTCTAGAAGACAGCCGGGGAAACTTTTCTCGCCGCCTCATTCACAGTCACTGTCACTCATACCGAAAGTGTTCAGTATGCGGAAGGAAAATAAATTCCTTCACTGACATACCAGGCGTACCAATCATTGTTACAGCTTGAAAAATTCAAAACGACTTCAACAATTTTAACCTTCTACCTCCCATTAATTTTATTCCTTCACTCAAAACTCTAAGCATAAAACAGTCTTCCATGAAACTTTCATTTTCCAGTAGAGTAAACTGTCTGGATTTTATTATAAATTAACACTAAACCTACCAAGCAGTTAAATTCACTTTTTGATGTTCCTCTATAGCAACTTCATTTATTGTACAATTTATTCTATTGTTCCTAGAGCAGTCGACATTCGCCTATTTAAATTTTGAAAATTATAAATTTAAAAATAGAAACAAAATGGAAACATTTACCAAATGATGTTTACAAAATTCAATGTGCGTAAAATTGACGCGCTCCGTAAACCTAGTGTTAATAATTGCAAGAAGAAGAAACCAGGAACGTGTCATTTCGACTCGTCTGGTAGGTTTAGTGTTAACTGGAAAATTGTCCAGTTCGAACGTTCGAAAATTTCAGTGTTCCTCGTGTCGGCATCGGTTCCGCAAACTTCCGAAGAAGGACACAAAAAGGGAGCAAAACGGGAGGCACGGCGCGAGTTGAATCGGCCGGGTATGCAGGATCGCGCGACACTTTCGCGTAGCTGCGTTGGTAACCAGCCGCGAGAACCATCTGGCAATAATGTTCGGTTCGGAAACATGCCCGACTATGAGTGTTTCCAGGCGGTGTCGGGTGACGCCGTGGTAGGGGTTGAATCAGACTGGAAAGCGATTGAGAACGGTGGGCGGCGGGTAGAACGAGGATAGGAGCACGCTGAACGCGCTAATTGCAAAAACTGCCTGCAGCGTCGTCCGCCGGTGTCCCTGCGGCTCGTTCTTCGGGGAAGAAAGAAACGGGAAGGCACGTGAAACACGGCACTCGGTCAGCTCCCTGGAAACTTTCCACATTCTTCGTTTACCTGACACTGGGAACTTCTCGTTTAATTAATTTTTGCATCCTCCCCGCGATCCGTGGAATTTACTGCTCGCATTTTCCTCGATGGGTAACTGTGATTATGGAGAAGTAACGTAGATTGGAAATTCGGGGAATATCCGATTACTGCTGTTGCGTGTAATTCAGAAGGATGCGTAATTTAGGTGTAATGGGTTGATGAAACTAGGGTTAATGGAAAAATGTTTGCGAAGTTTATCGTGGTTGCTGATTGTAGGTATTTATTGGTGAATTTTCACTTGGGTTGTTTGTCTGATAAAACGTTGACTTGTTTCACTTGTTACGTTTAAAATTATCTTGCATGCTTGACAAATCGTTGACTTATACTACTATCTCCCACGAAATCCCAATTCATCTCTCTCTCAAAAAACGAATTAAACGCCCCAATAACCTCTATACCTCAAATCGTTCACAAAAGATATCAACAATTGCACAAAGAATCCTAACTACACATCAACACACCCCAGAAATTCTCTAAAATCGTTTCTAAACAATGATCGCGCCATAATTCAAGCAAAGTGCCTGTTTCTGAATTCCCGTATCCTCGAGCTCGTCGTGCGGAGAAAATTAAAAAATTTCCGCGGCGCCGTTGGCCGTGCGATTCCCGAGGAGCGTGAAAAAGGAAAATACAGCGAGGAAGCGTACAGCTGACTCTTTCGCGGCACGCCAGCTGCGCTTTATCTTTACGACACCGGGAACGCGCGTGCCGTTTCCACCTTCCGCCGGAGGTTTTTCCTTCCGCCGCGATAGACGCATTGCAGACCGGCCGAATGTCTCTCTTTCCCGTATCAGCGGCGGCTGGCTGGCCCAATAAATGTTATTTGCACGCTCTCGATCCCCGCAATCCGCAAAAATCGCGAGCGCCGCCCGCGGATCCCTAAGCGCGCGACGACAAGTCGACTCGAGCGTTTTATTTCCTCCTCGCGGACCAATTCCCTCGTCTTTTCTTTCCTCCGGAGCTCACCGGTTTTTTTCCTCTTTTCGAGAGGGGAGGAGGGCGTCGCGTAAACTCACCGAACGCGCTCCGTTACGATCGATTCGACACGCCGCGAATTGCCAATGGGGTCGTTCAATCGTTCTCGTAACGATTCGCGAAGCTTTTTTTTCCCTCGTTCCGAGAACCATTTCGATGTCGCGCGCAGTTTTTATTCTGTTGTCTGGCGTTAATTAAGAGCGCGTGTTTCCCGTAATTTTATTCTCTGCTCGGCCGAGATCGGTTCGTTTAAGTACCCACTATGGGAAATTTTAGTTTTGTTTTAATGGGGTTGATAATAATGAATAGGTTTTGGAAATTGATGGATTTATGTGTATATTGGTATCATATGTATTGGGGTGTTTATTATACAGTAGAAACGGTTCGTTGCGATCAGGAAAGTAGATGGAGTCTATGACTGATCAGACGTTAGATCTAGGTTGGATTTAATAACGTCAGTTAGCTGAACTTCTCATGAAACAGTTTCTTTCTGTTGTTGCGTTGTCTCTTTAATTTACTGGTTTACTCGATATACTCCTTTTTAGAACTTTCTAAGTTCTATTATTTTTAAGGCTAAGATTGTTATATGTTAGTAATAACTTTATATCAATTCTGTATGTTTTTCAGGGAATAGTTATGAGAAAATAAGGCAGTGATAATCATAGTGTAAAAGTGTCGGACACGAGCTTGAAACATATTTTACGATTAAACGACACGCTTTGTAATAACAGGGATAAGGTGGTCGATACTTTAGCCAGGCAGTCATCTTCCACGATGAAACGTCTGATCAATTACACGGTTCATTCTGCCAGCGAGTGATTGTAGGTTCTGCCTTCGCTTCTAATATACGAGCAATTACACTCTCTCACTGGTTACACCTTTTGTTACTACAGCGCGGTGGTTCTGTGTAGCGTTACACCTTAATTCCCCAGATGAAATTACGTGGCTTTTTATAAAGGATTTATGCTATCGACGGAGAGAATATTCGGTTCATTGACGCTGTAATCCGATGAACAATTAATAAGAATACATACAATTGAATCTTCGATTAAATAACAGCCGTATGGAGAATAATAATACTTTATGAAACAGACTTAATTCAAATGAAATATTGCTTCGTATCGTCGTGTATAGTTGTCAGAATATATTTTTATAACAATAACGTACAGAATTTTTACGACATAAGAACTATATGTTTCGTCCGTACTATTGTGCTTCCAATTAATCCGAAAGTTACTACGCAAACAATAATTACTGATTATGATAACCGTACCGTGAAACACCCCAGAGAAATTACAGACTATTCCGCTGTAACTTTGCAAACCCGGGGATTACTCGAAATATACGGCGAAAGTTATTTCTATCGAGAATACACACCGTGGAATATTTTACTCCCGTTCCAAACGCGTCTGATTAATGGCGTACTCTTTCTACTGGTAAAATGAGCGGCTTACAGTTCGGTTAATTATACATTCAAATAACCGATTATATTTTTGAAATTCTTTCAATTTTCACTGCCAAAACGTATGATTAATCAAAAAACTTTTCTATATTCTACTTTATATAATAATTTCACAATTTTCGGGAACCATAAAAATTATTCGAATCGAACAGCTATCTCCTATTATTATTGATAAATATCGATAAAATACTTACCAAGTTATTAGCACAATATGTTCTTCGATAAAATACAAACCACAATACATAAGATTGAATCGAACTTAAAAAATTCCCTGCCTTTTTCCAATCAGTTTTTAATCCCACGTTCTTTTTTCAGCGTCACTTAGCGTCGCGAATATCCCGTTGTTTAACGGAACGCAGCCCCGTAAAATAGGAACGCCGGGGAATAAAGCAGGATTCGGTGGTATTAACAATGGGACAGGACCGTGAATTTCGTATTCACAGTCGCGCGAGACCGTAGTAAAAGTTTCATGGGGGCCCGGCCGATACTCTTCGGAGGATTTAAGCGGTGATCGATGAAAATCGTTGTGTTTCGCGGCAATTCGGCGCAGCCCCGGCCGGCGGTTACGAACGACCGCACGCGTCACTCGTTCGGACACGCGGGGGCCATTCTGAAACGCCGGTCACCGCGGCCCCAATTAATTTGCGATCGATTATACGGGCCACGTTTTAACGTCAAGTAACAAGCAATTCGTATCTGCCCACGGTCGCTTTCGCGTATTATATTTCACCGTTAAAATATTGTAGAAAATTACCACTGCCCACGTCGACGACGAACGAATTATGACGTGGGAATTGCGAAGGATATATGTCCTTTACGGCGGAAAATCTGGAAGTCGAAGCTTGAAAATCTGCTGCTGGATAGGATTACATTTTATTTAATATTTCTCCGGTGTCTGGCGAAACATTGATTCCTACTACTTTTAGAATTAGAGCAGAGCGCTGACAGTGATGTCTGGCTGAGCGCTGACCTCTTCTACTTACCAACGAAAACGAACCTTAACCTTTGCTGTTTGTCTAGAGGAAAGCTACCGAATAAGAGGAGTTTCTTTTATAATAAACATGTGCTTAGCTGCTATTCCTGAAGTATACAAATTGTTAACGAAATGCACGAGAAACCTGAAGCTAGACAAGTAAGTAACGTCGCGAATGCTCCTGTTCCAGATGTCCTGACAGCGGGCCCCGGGCCACCAGGATGCCGACAGACGACGACTATGGCCGAAGAGAACGTCTCCTACTGCACCAACACCCGATCTCTCAATACGGGCCCTCGTCATCTCCGGTTCCAGGATCGACCGCCGGTGCGTCTGGAAGTGTCGGTTCCCAGATCGTCTCCGCAGCCCCGTCAGACTGCTACAAGCAACAGCCGCAACCATCCCAACAGCAACCACCGGCGCAGCAACAGCAGCAAACGGACCAGCGAACCGTCTCGAGCGCAGCAAGCTCCTCCGCGAGCCAAGATCGCTACCAGCCGGAGTCCCAGACTCAGTCGAACGAGCACGACTATGGCGTCCGTGATCGCATCATCGATCGGCACGACAAGTCGACGGACAAGCCGTCGCTCGACGACTTCCCGAAATCCTGCGCGGAGACTCGCTCGATTCAGTCGAGCTGCGACCGGTTCGCCCACTACTCGGGCCAAGACAGGTTCGGGCAATCCTCTATTCAAGCTCATCATCAATACACTACTGCCAGGTCCTCGTCCGGTCAAACGTTGCCCCAGACCGTCCTCTCGGACCGTTACCCGCGCTTCGGCGAGCTGGCCGGTCTACACGGCGAGCAGAGGCTGTCCCTGGTCCCCAGCGAGCGTTTCCAGCAGGCCGGGAACCCGGTCGGTGAACTGGTGTCCTCGGGCAACGAGTATGCGAACGCGAACATCCTGGCGTCGAGTTGCGCGGCCAGTCCCTTCTCGTCGGAGACGTTCCCCTCGCCACCGTCGCCAGCACCGGCGAACGACCTGTTCGTCCCGCCGCCGCCGCTCTCGCCCAGCCCTAGCGAGAAGTATGCCTCTAGCCAGAGTCTGGCCGGTTATCCTGCTGCTGATCGGATTCTGGCCCCAGGCTCTCCAAGCGCCAGATTCGGCGGCGGTACAGCGCCAGCCTCACCGATGCCATCCGCCGCCGAACGATTCTCATCGGCGGACCGACTGCTGGCTGGCCAGCAATCCTCCTCCGTGCACGAGCCCAAGGAGCAGCAACGGTACGCTGCGGCTAGCGACAGACTGCTGTCCGGATCGTCTCCAGTTCTCGGCAGCCTGCAGGTTAGCCTCCAAAGCGAGAGGAACTCGGTGTACACCACAGGCAAGGACTCCAGATACTCGGCCATCTCTACGGACAGGCTACTGTCCTCGTCGCCTATTCACGCCCCAGTGCCAGAGAGGTTCGCGAGCAAGGACAGGTACCTCGAGTCGCCCGTCTACGAGCGCTACCACCGGCAGGAGGCGGCGCAAAGCGTCCACCATGATCGCTACCCGACGATACCCGCGGAGAAGTTCCTCTCGAGCTCGCCGAACCCTGAGACCGGTCATCAGCGATACTCGGCGACGGAGAGGGGCCTCCAAGTATCAGGCAACAGCAACGAGCAGAGACGTCTGTACGCGGACAGAGGCGTCGAGACGGTGTGCCAGAAGTATACCGACAGACCCAGCGGATCGCCAGCGCCAGCGGACTTCAGTAGATACGCTAGCTTCCAGGAAGTCGGCGGCCAGTCCAGGTACGTCTCCGGGGCGGACAGGTTCAACGAGTCCGCCGTTCAACGCTGCAGCCAGCCAAGACCCAGCGACAGGTACTGCGTGTCCAATGATCGCTTCCTCGCCGGATCGTCGCCTGGGCACGACGGCAGACTCGCTGCCAACGACACCAACCGATACTCTATCTCCGGCTCCTCGACGGAGCGGCTACTGTCGACGACTTCTTCCTCGTCGTCCTCGTCCACGGACACCATCGCCAGGTACCACTCGTCCTACGCGAACACCACGGCCACGCAGTCGGCCGGCAACGACCGCTTCACGTCCATCTCGCCGACGCCGGAGCCCAGCACTGGCCTCAGATCGAGCGTGTCGGCGGCTGGTAGCTCGACTGCCTCCAGCTACCAAAGTACAACGAAGACCGGCATCGACAAGTACCTGCAAGTGTCCAAGTCCGTGCAGAGCTACAGCAGCGACCGCTACACGGTCGCCAGCTCCAGCGAACAGTTCGACAGGCTCAGCGGGCAGGACCGGTACGACAGGTTCTCCAGCGCGGTTTCTAGCGCGGATAGATTCGTCTCGAGCACTGCTACTCCTGATCGGTTTCATGGCGCCGCTGATCGATACTCTCCTGCGCGAGCCGCGGATAAGTACCTGTCCCTGCCGAAGCCGAAGGATCGCTACACCGGCCGCATAACGCCGATATCGTCTTGCGCCGCCTCCACCGTCACCTCGACTGATCGCAGTTATGGAGGGTCTACGGCGGCTGGCAGCTATGTGCCGCCGACGGCGCACACGCCGGTCGAGAGATACGTGCCCCAGCCGCCTCCGGAGGTGCTCTACCCCGACAGGTACGTCGAGAGGTACGTGCCACCTTCGGCGCACACGCCGACCGACCGCTACGTGCCCGCCAATGATCCCGGTGATCCCTACATGAGACGGGACCTCGGCTTCCATCATCATTACCGGCTACCGCCGCCAGCCGGCTACCCGTACCATCAGTCCCACTTCCGGCTGCGCGGTTTCGCTTACGCGTCACCTGGACGTGGACTAAGCGGTAGCCCTGGCTCCAGCAGCTCGAGCAGCTCCGCGTCTAATCAGCGCGACGGGTTCTCCATGTCGCCGTTGCTTAGGCCGAAGGTTAGAGCTTCCGCGGTCGAGTTTACCAGTACTTCGAACAGTGTTGTTGGACGTCACGTGTGCACCAACCCGCCGTCCTGCTGTAACGAGGTCAACGGGAACACGAGGTCTTGCTGCCAGGCTGTTAGGAGGTCTCTGCCGCCTGGCGCGCTGCCTTCGATACCTACGCAGGCTTCTTGGTAAGTGGATGATTCCTTTGGTATTTGGATTCGAGTGTCTTTGGTGTGTTGTCTTCAAGTGAGGGAGATTTCTAATGATTTTCGAAAAAGTCTTTTCAAACTAGTTTCAGAGTTAACGCTAAAACTACCGAGCACTCGCAGCGACTTACGAGACTTCTTGAGGCTCGAAGGATCTAATCTTGTATCTGTGCAGATACACAGATTTAATTGAAAACCTTTCGCAAAGTTTCGTAATTTAAATACTATCAAAATATAAATTCTGAGATGAGTCGATTTAATCCTCTTTTCAATGAACTCGCCGCGAAAATAAAGTGGCAATATTCTTACGAATTAGGAGAATCCGTTTCCAATCATGTAACGACGATAAAAACGGCTCAGTAAACGGCTCGGAGAGCGAAAATGGATTAATCGCGCCACGAATGGTCGGCGCGCGGATTAAAGAAGTTGCACGCGGCTGGAGCTGAGCCGTTTGTAGCCCGGGATTAACGAGTACACTGGATCCGGACAATACGCGTGTTCCCGCGATCACGCGCGTTTATGATAAATCTCGCGAATTAGAGCCTCGGGAGGTTTAATTGCAGGATGAACGTTATTTATAGCCGGCAGAGAAGCTCCGAGGAGGGTTGGGAACCACTTTTCCGATGCGCATCGCTGGCCTTGCGTACGCAGAAACGTCGCTCGGCTCGGTGACTCAATTCCGTTTCCCTTCGATATTAAAGCTGCCCGGCGAGCGGAGATACGAGCCTGACAATATTTAGTCCCGTACATATTTGGTACACATTTCGTGTATATTAAAAGGAAGCTGTCAACGTGCGTTGAACAAAGACAGCAGGAGTAGAGTTTATTATGAAAGTCAAGGAACTATGAAACTCGGGAAGCATATTATATATACTTCATAATTTCAAATTAAATGTCTTCAGATGTAAGTTTCATTGCAGACGATCCTAACAGTAAATATCTCAACAATCCACAATCTCAACAAGTCAACATTCCTTTAGAAACATCGACCAAAATCATTGCAGAACACCAAGGATGTAATAAACACAAATAATTGAAGTGAAACTAGACGTCAGTCCCAACGAGATCTCGTAAAACAATGTTTCGTTCGTTCGTTATCTGTGGGAGCGTGCGCTGAATAATTCATGGGAGAAAAGGGGGAGGAAAGTAGTCCGGATCGTAATGCGTCACTTATTAGCCGTGTTTCCGTCGGACGGCGAACGTATGTAACGGCTGTGGCGGCCCGTCTATTATTATCAATACCGTGATACGCAAATTCCGACCTATATTAACGAATTCAGGCCGCGGATTAGTATTTCAGTAGCTCGGGAACAGAGCGGAATCGCGGCGAAGTGCTCCGATACCGCTTTGTTTCACAGTTGATGATCACTGTTTAAAACGTTATCTAAAAATGAACTGGAATGTAGGCCGTGTCCACATTTAGCAGTCGCGCGGAAGCCGCGGGAGCACAGAAAGGGTCGTTACTTTCGTCGCAGTAATCAGGTTAATGGAGTATCGTGGCCCACTTTATTTTTTTCATCTTCATCGGCTGCCGCCGCCGCCGCCGCCGCTGCCTCTGCAACTTCGCCAGTGTCCCTTTTCAACGTTTCAAAGTCAATGATGCATTACCGACAGCCAAAGCTTTCGCTCGCACGTTTTCGGTGCGCTGCTGATTTTTCCATCTTCCTCCTGCCACTCCTCCTCTGTTTCTCCATCTTTTTCGTTTCCTCTCTTTTTTTCAGAAATATTGTCACCGTCGTGCGTGTTCCCTTTACGACGGCGAATATTTTCCAGCTGGGAAACAGTTTTGTCTTTTCTCCTGATCGACCGGGATGTCAAGCTGAATTTCCAGGTAGCGCTTCGCGTGCTTTCTCGCTTGGCTAGGACGAACGTTGTTTTATCGGTTGATCAACGGCTCGAACATTGTTCTTCCGGTGCTTTCGGAGGAATTGGGAATCTTGAATCGAGAGTTTCCATGAAGAATCGATGACCTTATCCCAAGTGGTAAATTGGAATATTGAAATACCGAAACATTTAAACTCGCGTCTGACCAGTCATTGCCCTTTCTACTTAAACCGAGCGAACCCAGCAATTTCGAACTACAGACATCAAGAGCACGCGATTCCTCTCCCTGAAACAGACAGTAACATCCAGAACTCTCTTAACCTCCAAGGTGTCAAACACCCCCCGGAACAGTCACAGTCAGCTGGAAACTGTCTCGCGAGGGTAGCGCGAAAAGGCGAAAAGCTCGGTGGCTGGTAAGTGACGGTAATCTCGGTCGCCCTTAAGCGCGCGTCATTAGCAGCGGGATGGAACTCCGTTCTCGCGTGGCCCGAGCAATTTCCTATTTTCCCGGTGCGAGTGAAAATCGCAATCGGCTTGGCGGGCGCGCGAAGCTTTCGGCAAACTGGCGCGGGGCCGATTTTCGAGGGCAAACTGCACTGTTCGGCGGAACGGGCGTGTGCGGACGTAATCTCTTCTGTCGTTCCGCCGAGAAAGGTATCGTCGCCCTTCCCGTGTCTCGGTTTTCGGTCCGACCGCCTGCCAGTCCCTTCGGTGCCCTCTGTTTTCGCCGGGGAAAATTCGCTGACCTCGTGTCTGCATTCCGGCTGAACGTCGGCTAACAGGGGGCTAATGACTCTTCTGGGAGGCGATGTTCGCGGCGCTCGCGCTCCGGATACCGATCGCTGCTGTGTTTCGCGTATTACCTTTGACAAGGTGTGTTGTCCGTTCGCAATTGGAAATGGGAGTGCCGAAGGAATCAGTTTCGTTGAAGGGAATATTCGTGTTGATTGAAGAGATGGAAAGGATAAAAGCACGGAATGATGCGGGGAAATGTAATTGGTGCTTTTGTGTGCTATTGGAGCGAGGATTGAAATGGAAACTATTCGAGTGTAGTTCGAAATTGTAGAAAATATTTTTTAATAGACTTTTTACTTGTGTTAGTGAGTATCTTTAGAGCAAGATGTATCAGTATTTTATTCATCATAGAGGAACTGTTTTAAGGTACTTTCATTACCATTAACTGAGAAACTTTCTATAACTGGTATCAAGATTTTTCACAATTTTTATAACGTATTTTAGTCGCGATAGTTTTAAATGCAGCGTCTTAAGTAACATTTAATTACAGCGAAGTAAACAGTGTCTACAAGAGAAGATACAGCAGGAGTATAACTGTATCTCAGATATCGGATGCATACGCGGCGAATATAAACGTCGGAGTCTCAGGGACTTGATTAAAGATGTCATTTTATGTTACCGGGGAGGAAAAAAAAATGGAATCCCTGTATATTTCATGGAGGCATCGCAGTTTTCAGGTTACACCGGCGCAAGAACTTTTATTCCCGAAGAAAGTCCCGCGGTCGGAGACTTTCTTGCCGCGACGGCCGCGCGAAAAACACGTTAACTTATTCCGCGGACGTTGCCGTGAGTTATTTCTTGTTTACTTCGGCATCTGTTCGCGTTTCCTGGAATGAAACCTGGTCCCTCCTCGGAACCCCTGGAGTTTCCGCTCTCGTGGATTTTAAATTTGCAAATCCGGCCGCGGTAAACACGAACGTGCCGCGTTTCGACGTCTCGTTTAACTACGTGGATTTCTCGGTTTCCCGATCGGCCGGATAATCGAGCGAACGAGTAATTCGTTGCTCGCGTATCGCGGCCCTTGTCACGCATATTATTATGCGCCCTCGAGTTTCTCGTATTTCGCGGCACTGAGAAATAAGCCGCTACCGTGATTCGCGTGGAACAGCTTGCTTTAGCGCTTTGAGGACAAGTAATTAATTATACAATCGAAACTAGGTACACGTGTATGAATATATGATACTTTTGTGTCGTTAGAAGGAGACGCGAATATTCAAATACTTTATGGTAGTTAGATTAATTAGTTCAAAATATTGCAAAAATCTCCAAGCGAATATTTCACGCTACAATCCTTAACACTGGAACTACCAAGTAGTCAAGCTGACTTTAACATTTTTCTATAGAAACCCCAAGAGTATCTATCGAGACTTCGATCACTCAAAGCTTAGTTTGCGTACTACTAAAACAATTTCTTCAGAAATTCCTTAGAGCAGGATCTATTGCTCTTTCAATAATTGTAAAAGAATTTAGGAATGGGTCATTTCGACCCATCTGATAGTTACAGTGTCAATCTCTCTTCACTTTCCAAGAACTCAAACAAACAATTCCACCGCGATGTTCCATTTCCATAATTTCCAATTGCATATTGCAAAAAGTCCCCTGCAATCCAAGAAATTCACACAGTTCGCTCTTCCCCATTCCGTCAACCATCCCTCGCAACCCGCGAGCCCCAGAAACAAAGGGGAAACTTAAATCCCCCATTGAAACGCTCATTAAATCACCGAACAATGGAGAAGAAGTTAATTTATTGAAACTCCAGTTCTCAATGGTCGTTACACCGGAAAACAGGATATCCGATTGCGGTCGTCGCGAGGTTCGAAATAAGGAACGTAACTTTGCGGCCGTTGCCCTCGCGCGCGCGCCCCACGCGTCTTCGGTCGAACAAGCGTTCCGAGGCGAACACCGCCTTATTAGAGATTCATTCCGAAAGAACAAAGGCGTTGGAAGTTCCGCAATAAGTACAGCTCCCTGCACCCTGCGCTCAGGCGGCAACCAGACCGTCTCCCGGCGTGCATTGTTACCCGGTACAATTACGCGGCTGTAATCCCGGCGCTTCGCTAATTTCGGAAATAGCTGACGTCGATCCTAATCGTCCCGTTAGTCTCGGCCGTGTCGCCGGCCAAGGATTAACCCTTCGATTCGCGATAAAAATAAGAGACGGTCTTTCTAGACGCAGAAGTATCACTGTGTCTTTAACACTAGAACTACCAGTCATCGAAATGTTCCATTCTTTGATTTCTTCTGTTGTGATTACTGAAAAATCACGAGTATCTCTTTCAAAACTGACAAAAGAAGCTAATTAACCACTTGGCCTATGATATCTTTCTGAACTGTGATCCATCCGACTACTTTGTTACTAATAA